CCCTCTGCTGCCCACGCCAGCAGCTGGTAGTGTGTTCTGGGGGCAGCCTCTCCCCGCCAGCACGGCTGAGGGACGGGAAGGGTGCAGGGTGCAGCCACACGACAGCCCGTCTGCAGCGCTCCCAGCACTCTGACCTCCCAGCAGAAAATCGTTTGAACTACCAAGCCTAAGAAATAATATAAAGTAAACACATCAGGCCTTAGAGACACTGCAGCAAGAGCTGTGTTTGGAATTTCTGAGAAGGTTCAACACCTCCAGTAAGAGCTTAAAAAGAGACATTTATCACACAAAATGTTAAGAAAAATAAAATCCTTTTTGTAAATTTTTTTTTTTTTGTAAAAAATACCAAAATATAGCACTGCTTTCAAGCAAGATTAGTGTTTCAGACATTCACTGACCACAAGATGAAGTGCTTTAGAGATCCAACAGCCCTCTGCACCACCAACTGGCCCACGAGGTATCTGCAGTTGTGCCACCCACGACTCCGCAGGTTTGCGGGAAAGGCACCTGCAGACGTTCAAAGGATGAACTGCCAGATCAGTTACATGGCACAGGAGCTGCTTAATGAGACTGTAGTGTATTTGTCACTTTACAATTGCACACAAAAAAAAATTTCCCCCCCTGCAGATAAATTTGAGGATGAGGACACCAGCCAGAGGCAAGACCTGCTCTATAATCCCACGTGTAACTTCCCAGTCTACTGTTCTCTTGAACTGAGGAGTCACCATGTTCCTATAGGTTTACATAAGAAGTTTTCCAGAGACAACATTCTTAATTCAAAGGCTCAATTTAGCCAGATGCCAGCAACACTTGATATCAGTTCTTTTCATTTGGGATTATTTTCAATACTCATCAGCAAAAAGCTAGCCTGAAGTCAGCTAATTCCAGACTACAAGTCAGAACCACATCAAGGCAGGGAGGGGGATGCACAGTGCTTTGTAAGATGGTGGCTAGGGGAGGAGGTTCTACAAGGACCAGCTTCAGCTTGGGGGAACAAGTTCCCCCACGCTCCTCACACATGAGAAATCGAGGACAGGTTTTGATAGGCTTCCAAAAGAAAATCCCGAGCAGGAGCCGACCCAAGCCACTCCAAAAGCCTCGCTGAAGGAGCCTGTGTCTCTACTGATGAACAGTAAACCAAGAGAGAACAGTCTCAGGAGGCCCAAGCTGGCTGTGAACACGGCCCGACACCCAGACAGAAAATACCCTGATGACTGAAGAAGTGCTGAGACTTTTCCTGGCTCCATTAGCAATGAAGACTGAAGTCAGAAGATTTCTCTCAGCAAAACCAAATCTAAACATTCAATCAAAACTTGCACAGGGGTTGGATTCCTTAAACGCTCAGATTTCCTTTGAAGCTGATGGGAGCCTGAGGTGGTGGCACTGCCGTGAACGCCGCGCGGCCTGGGCGGGTGACGCACAGAGCACGACCCTCCTCCGAGGGGGTCCATGGCAGAGCTCCCCTGGCAGGATCACGACGTCAGTTCTGAGTGTGCTGCAGGACGGGACTGAGGCCGGGGGGCTCTGCTAACTAGGAAGATTTTCCAAATGATGCGGGATAAAGAAAGGACCATTTTGCAACAAAGCTCTTTCTGAATTTCCACCCATCTGTAAACGTTACTTACAGCTCTCGAGTAGGAACCACGACGTCCTCCTCCTCAGCGCCAGACCTCGTGTTACAAACACTTCCCAAGAAGTCACACACATGATTTCTCACAGGAAAAGCTTTACAATAATACTCTTAAGTTAACGTGATACACAACCTACCTTCTCAAAATGCCTTTAAAAACAAGAAGTGGCACAGAGGCATTTCAGGGTCACCTGGTCTGACGCCCACATGGTTATGGCATCCTGATGTTAGGCAGAGTGGTGAGGCTTTCCTCTGTTCTTAAACTAGACAGAAAAGTTACGTTGGCTTTGCTATTTTGTTTTTAAAGACACGTTGACTGATCGAAATCAGATCTTCAACATACTTTAAAAATTAAATAAATAAATATGTTGCTATGCTTTGCTTAATACACTCAGAGAGCATATTTTAAAGAGAATATTCTTTTCACTGTAAAAAGGTCTACGCTTTTCTTCGAAGGCCAAGACATTTCTGGTTTCCAACAGTAAAAGCTGCTGTAGCACATTCAAGGGTAAAAGAAAGACCAAACAACAAAACTCCAACACCACCGTCTGCTCCTGCTTGCTAAGATTAAATGGTCCCACTCCCAGTTCACACGCGACAGCTCTGGTGACGAAGACCCAATGTGTCATAGCAGTCTCTTCGAGTTCGTCGCCTGTTTGCCCGTCTTCTCCCCTCCCTTGTTTGTTTTTAACCCAATTCACTCCTTCACTTCCTCTACAGCGTTCTGGGCTTCCAATTTGCACTTGATCTTGCTCCAGTACTCGGGTGCCACGGGAGCTTTGGGGTCGTGTGCGGAGCAGCAGAGGCGGCCATCCAGCGCCGAGGCCACCAGGGCTCCCTTCTCGTGATCTTTGCAGAAGGAGTGAGGGCAAAACTCACAGAACGAAACCGCAGGATTGCTACAGACGTCGCACTGATGCCACGGACATTCCCACTTTCCTGAGGATGGAGGCAGAAGAGAGAGACAGGAAGCTGAAACTCGTGCATTTTGGGACAGCACTGGCCTTTAACCCTTCTTCTGCCTTGTAATTGTTCAGATAAATCAAAGCAAGTTCAGAAAAATCAGCTCTTACTGTACTTGCTACTTCTGCTTCACATCTACGAGAATCTGCCTGAAAACAGTTCCTAGTAATATTTCAGTTTTCAGGCCTCAGCTGGCTCAGACCACTGCTGCATGCATACCCAGAGCTCTGTGGGATTCTGGCACTGTAAATAACACTATTTCAGCTCAAACACTGCTCGCTGCAGGGAGGGAAGGATGAACAGGGAACCATGAGACGGCTCTTACCAAAGGGTGGTTGAGTCAGGTTAAGGCATAGGAGGTGGTATGCTTTGGGACAGTCCTTCTTATCACACATGACTAGCTCTCCCCCATCTCCACACTGGAAACAGTTGTCTTCATGCATCTGCTTCTGTTCCGTTTTGATTTTCCGCTTCTTCTGCTTTAATTTTGCATTCTTCACCTTCTCTTCATTTGCTGTTGCAAACGCTGTCTGGCAATGACAAAGATCAGAGCACACAGTCACTTCATGAACCCTTTGCACCAGGATTCACCAGCTTTGCATTAGTTATTGGCATGAACCACGTTTAAATTAAATCCACTTCAAGAAGGCTTTAAGCTATAAAGGGCAGAAAAGCCCATCCACGGGTATCAGAATTAACAGTTTGGTAAATTAACTCCACCCTAGACAAAACAGCACTGCAGTGCAAAGCTGTAAAATCTGTAAGAGACTTTCAAGGGTGGAAAGTATTACATAGACCAAAGAAAAAAGGTAAATAAACCAAAAACCTCTTTCTTTACTCTGACCAGACATCCAGATTTGGGAAGAGAAGCTCCAGTTTTCATCCACGTACCTTTGGGCGAACTCCTAGGAAACCACTGCAGTTTTCTGCTCCACAATGACACTCGGTCCTGCCATTGCCCAGGCAATCCAAATTATAATTAAATGTTAATTCCATTCCTGAAATTTGAAGAAAAACAATTCACCCACACAGGCACCGAGGAAAGACAGGCTCGTGACAATGACAATTCATTAGCAGTTATCTCTTCCTAGCCTGAGATCTAGCAGTGATATGTTTTAAGAAGGATAAGCTTGAAATAGTGCAGTGATTTAATAAACTCTGGAAGTAGCACATTCTGCCTAGATCAGACATAAGCAGCAGCTGCTCTGTCACACAGACCCAGGTAAAATGACCCTTAACGTGGAGAGATGACACCACCCCAGACAAACACTGGTGAAAGCCCCATCCTGTGATAAGTGCCTACATGACACAGTTACTGCCAGACTTGGCAGCAAACCTTGTAGCTCACTTTAACAGAAGCTTTCAGTCAAAACTATTTCTAGCTATAAGATAACTGGGAAAACTCAAGTGTTTGTCTCCACTCCAATGAATGACAAGATTTCTATCCATGTCACTGGTATTAAGTAACTTTAGAGGAAAAAAACCCCAGCCAAGTTAGGAAGTTGGGTCATTTCAGGAGAAGTGCCCACACGCAGGGCAGTGCCAGCTTTTACCTGCAGGAATGTCACAAAGAGCAAAGAGTCCAACTCTGATGTCACCATTCACTGTCCATTTCTGTGTTTCACAGTTTGGATTACAACTATGGTTCATAAAACGAGAGTAATTCCCCTTTGGGCCAGCATCTATTATCCGATCCTTCAAACAAAGAGACAAACACACATTTAGTACTTGGAAACAATAAAAGGTTTCCTGCTGGCAGGTGACTGCTAATGGCTAAGGCAGAAAAAAATGCTTGTTTTAAAGTAGCGAAAAGAGGTGAGTTTTCCCTGTAGAGTTAGCTTCATGAAAAGATGTCTAAATATTTGTGTTTCCAAAAGCGACACAGGCACAGAGCACAACCTCAGAGCTCTGCACCAGCTCCATCAAAGCGAAACACAGGTGTTATCCTCCTACCCACAGGTCAAACAGGGAGTGATGTTTCTGCCAGCATTTTGCCCCTAGTTTCACCCCTAACAGTTTATGCTGAAGGAGATGTAGTATTTACCTTTGTTACAGTTAACATATAAAAATTGGTTACGCTGTTCTCATGTGCACGTTTGATCCGCAGCCTGCACTCTTCTTCATCAATCAGCTCACCAACATACTCATTCACAAATTCACCCTGGGAAGGACAGGAAGACAAAACCAGGAGATCTATGCTTACTGCTTCTTCAGATGATAAAAGGAAGAAGCACAGAAAAACAATTTCCTATAAAGACAGACTCTAATAATCACTTCATAACTTTGTGACTGTCATTTGCTGGTTTATGATAAGGACAAGGGGAAGAAAAGGGGGAAAAAACCCCCAAAAAACAAACAGGCAACTTATTTGGCCAGAAGATGTAATCATCTTCAATGGCCTTATTTAGTGAAAGAAACCACCATTCAGGCTCCTTTCTCCCAGGCTGCTCTCTCCCTTTCCACCCAGTGGCAGCGAGAAGACACACAGATGCTCCTTCCCTCCACCAACAGAAATCCCAAACTCACAATCACCCAGAACAGCTTCTCCTCTGCAAGCAGCAAGGTTAAGATGCTCCTGTCAAACCAGCTGAGTGGATTTCAGCACCACTCCTTCACCCACAGGACTTCCACCAGTTCGTAACACACAGCGCTTGCTGCGGGCGCTGGAATTCCTGTCTGCAAGCACTGATGGCACAGAGAGGTGCCAGGTTGGATGTAGAACCCCACTGACAGCTATCCCAGCCTCCAGCCTAACTCTACCTTCTTAATGCTCCTCTTTGTCCTGAGGCCCCAGCCGCGCCGCTCGGTTTTGATGATCTCGGCGTCGGGGTAGAGCCTCTTGGTGAAGCACTGGTTCTGGCAGCGCTCGCCGGCCGGGCACACCTGGGGGTGGCACTCGTACTGCAGCATCCTGTTCAGGCACTCCGACTCCAGGCCACAGGGGTTCTCATCAGAGGGCTTGCAGTTACAGCGGGGGATCTCCGACAGGTCAGCCACCTGGATCTGCACCTTCCCTATCACCTTGTTGGACTGGGGGACAAAGGGAAAAGCGGATGAGGGATGAAGACCCCGCACAAAGAACGACGACTTAAGGCCTTTACTGCAGGCCAGTCATCACTGACAGAAGGCAGGAAAATGGTTACATCAGTTTTTGCTCTAGGCTCTTTTGAAGGATTGTGTGTCACAAGTATGGTTCCCACAGACACAAGCATGGGACCATTGAATTGTTGGGGTTGGAAGAGACCTTTTAGCTCACCAAGTCCAACCGTCCCCCCAGCAACCCATGTCCCTCACCCCACATCTCCACAGCTGGGAAACCCCTCCAGGGGTGGGGACTCCACCACTGCCCTGGGCAGCCTGGCACAGCCCTGGGCAACCCTCCAGGGCAAGAAATTGTTCCTCAGGGCCAACCTCAACCTCCCCTGGAGCAACTCGAGGCCATTTCCTCTTGTCCTATTGCTTATTCCTTGGGAGAAGACACCAACTCCACCTTGCTAGTGTGGCACTCTACTGCTAACACACACTGTTCAGAGAAGCCAAGAGCAAGCAGTTTAAGCAAAGAACATTAAAGGTCATGTCTCTAGACAGTACAGCATGAGTCTCTCTCCACTAGAACTACTGGTTCAGGAACTCAAAGCACACAAAGTTTATCAAGTACATCACTGGGATTTCTTCCAACTAAAACTAAAGACGTTGAAGGAACAACACCAACTCCTACATGCCCAAAGCTGCTGGCAAGAGTTAGATGCTGCAGTGGGAAGAGCCCTAGGAATTGCTACTGACACTGAGGTGAGTGTGAACAATGTTCACTGAGTTCCCACCATGTATGAAGTCGCAGGAGACGAGCTTGCCACCAGCAAACCTGTGTTAGGTAAGACTGCTCTTCAGCTCACATTCCCTCACAAATACTCTGCTAAAGAATGTTTTATGGTACTATAAGGCAGAACAAAAGATTATTGGAAAAAAAAGAACAACAAAATGATTGAGTTTCCTTAAGCGTGAACTGTTGCAAACACTGGTTTAAACACACAACTACCATGCACGCAACAGAAACAGGAAAAGAAGCCAACTCACTTTAATGTGTTTATAAGGTGGAGGTTTCCTTGAATTCCTTTCAATTTCTAATGCCTCTTTGCTTTCTCTTTGTGCTTTCAGCTCCTGGAAGCGCTTTGCTGCTTCTTCAAGTGCTGTGCAAGGGAGTTCACAACAGAAAGCAATTAGCACCAGCTGCTGTTCATCAGCTGTACACATCTATGCACTTAAATTCATATTTTTAAAAACTAGGAATAGAACTCTATAAACAAGAACACAAGCCAGAAATGAATTATTGCAGTATATCATGAATCTATCATCATATACTTTGAGGTAGGTACTGAGATGCTGAACAATGATCCCATGCAGCAGAGCTCAAGCTCCATCTTAAAATTTCCCAGTAAGTGGAAGAATTGAACTTGCCCCCAAGTTCAATGAGCGTGTTCAACAATACACAATGAGTAGGCACTTAAAGAAACAAATTTTTATCTGCATTCAAGGGATCTTAAATAATGTTTGCAATTTTATGTGAACACAGAACACTAGTCACATAATATTCCCATGCAGGTTAAGTGGTGATGGAGACACAAACACGTGGAATTTTTGTCATAAACCACTATAAACTTTGTTTGATTTTACCTTTCTTGAAGGTCTTGTTAATACTAGTTTGCCCCTCAGCAAAGCTTTTATCTCCTTCAACATAAGGGAAAACTCTGCCCTGGTGTACCCAATAGTAGTCATGTGAACCAAAGAAAAATACTGGGAAGTCCCCGATATCATGTTTGAGGCCCTGTATGTTGAGAGGCACAGACCTGGGATTGCAGATCTCTGCTGGCCACCACCTGAAAAGGGGAAAAGAAAAAGAAGGCTGTGAGTTCCCTGAACTGCAGCCCTGGCTTCTGCGTTTGCCTAAGGGGACTGAGAGATTGAAGCCAGTTTTCTGTTGCTGAAGAACCCAACTCCTTCCTCAGGCAGTCCAGGCTCCCTCTGGCAGCACCTGGGAAGCACCACACAGGACCCAGGAAATGCTCTTACTCCACACTTGGGAGCAGTCCTAAGAACACTCGCAGCATGAGGGCAGGTTCTCAGATCACCTCTAACACTTGCACTCCTGCAGGTGACCAGGAGCACACACACAGCAGGGACATCCCCCTTCTCTAAGACACTCCCTGGTTTTCTGTATGCTCCACAGAGCAAAGGTAAGAGCAGCCAAGTATCCACCACTGCCTGGAAAAATCAGAACTTGATTTCAAGGGTAACATTTGACACAAAGCAGAACAATTATTGTATTTCTAGTTCTCATTTATGAAGACTGAGCTGGTTTGAGTTATCTTCCTGTAATTCTGCATTACCTTAAAAACATCCAAAGGCTTCAGAAACAAAACCAGACAACTTGCCTGTAATTTCCCAGCTTGACCCAAACGATCTGCTTGTAACGTAGCTTCTTGCCAGCTTTACAGTCATTGCAATTCCAACATCCCTCTGGCATTTCTATGTTGAGACACTCGGGGTGAAAGGAAGCTGGGCAGGATTCACAGCACAACAGTTTTCCACCTTTGAACAAAGAAACCCTGCTTGGTTTAGAGAAGTAAGGATTTGTTTCCCCTGGTGCACAGCAACTGACATTCCTTTTAAACCACCCCTTCTACAGCCTTGTCTGCCCCACAGAAAAAAACAACAGCAAAAGGGGGGGATCAAGTCAAACTTAACAATGTTGGTTAAAAAAGACTGCACTGCAATGTGCAAGCTGTGACTGCTGACTGTGTCAAAGACACACAAAGGAGCAGCTGGATATGACTCAAAGGTGAGGTAAGCTGGCAGGGAAGCACCATTCCCAGCAGAGGTGCTGATCTCAAAGCAGCACTGCAGCTTTTGTTTCTTTGGCTACGGCCAAAACTTCGGTTGATTTCTTTGGTGACAGCCAAAACAACAACAAATAACCACAGTTTTAAGCAACAATATTTCAAGCAACACTGTTGTGACTGAATCCTCCAGCAACCCCTTAGTACACATCAAACCCCACAGCCTATAGGTTGATCAATGCTTTTCTGTACCAAGGACATTCTAAAAAGAATCATCACAGTAAGTGCATTTATTCCACAAAATAAAAGTTACCAGTATGAGCAGAGCACTTAATGCAGAGTGAGACACCCCACAAGCTGTCCCCACCCCCAAAGTTCCTTCTGTGCACAGGAAACCTCAGCACTGTGCTCAGTGTGAATTTCTGAAGTTTGTGCTCATTTGGACAGAAGTTGTTCTGGCTGGCTTGGATGTTGGCAGATGGATTAAATGTGGAGAGCCACAGTGTATCTCTAAGCCACCCTCAGCACACAAAGCAGCTCATACCATAAGACTTGACACATTATACATATTGGAATATTTTATATATGCAAGTATATAAAATATTTATATACCTACAAAAACGTGTGTAATTTTTTTTGAAAAAAGTTTGTGTCCCAGACAGAAAATCTGGGAGACTTAAGAGCATTTAAAGCATTTTTCAATCACAATATCAAAGTATGACTAGTAACTTTCAAACATTTATCAGAAAATCTTGTCCACCTATAGACTTACTTATATAGAAATCCCATGACATCGATTGTTGCATGTCACAATAAGCATTCCTTAAATCAGTTGCATGACCAATTCTGTATTTCCTCTGTTAAAACCAGTTCCAATCCAACCATGTGATTTCCAGAGCTCCCCAAACCCATCATAACATTTTAACTTTTCAAGTATTTTTTGTTTGTGTTATTTCAGAGGAAATACAGACCCAGTGTAAATTACTGAAGAGTCACCCAAAATGGTAAAATGCCCAGAGATGCAAAACAAAACCAAACACAAAACTCTCAGTGCTAAGCAAGAAAAAAAACCCCAACGCTTGGCTCTCAGGATGCATTAGTAAGATGTTGCTCAAGCTAAGCAGAGGGCTCAAAATAATTTTTGTTTTCAGGAATGAGAGAACCACTGACAGCCACCAATCTACAACGTTCAACAGAACCGAGCTCTGGCGGGGTTAACTGGGCACCACTTCTGAGTGCTCTCAGGAAACCAGATTTCTGCAGGTATAAAACTCAACGTCTGAGTATTTTACACAGCCAACAGTTAGTCCCCAGGGACTAAAGGACACACAGGCAGGCAGAGCCTCGCTGCCTTCCATTCGGGCACCCTCTGGATGGACACAGCACCCACCCTCGCCAACCCAAGAAGTCCTGTCTTCTCTCAGGCTCTGAAAAAGCTGCCTAGAAGATCTGAAACAGAACATCCCACCCCCTTCTTCCACAGGAAAGATTAATTTAAAAGCTGGTTTGTATCCTCCTGCTACTACTGAACGGCAATGATACCGAGCTCTACTTGCCTCCTCATAGCTTCCCTGAAGCTGGAACAGCCTAGGCCAGATACAAAGTGATTTCACCTCTTGCAAGGAGAATTTAGGGACAGCAATTATTTTAAGCCCTTTTGTAATTAAAAAAAAAAAAAATTGCCAACAACATGAACACACGCTCACAATAATCAATGAGTGAAGTTCACTGAAAAGCAGTAAGTGGTGCTTGACAAGCAGACATTTCTCATTGATTTAAAGAGAGAAATAATAGAAAAAAGCAAAAGTAAATTAAAGAGAAAGAAACTATTTTGGTTACCTTTCTCACATTTCTTTTTGGAAGCTGACGAAGGAGGAGGAATCATAGGTAATTTCATCAACTCAGCACGATTTGACTCATTCAGTAGGTAGTGGGACTTATAGGCATATGAACTGAACAGGGGGTCTGAATGATCCTGCACTACCAACCCTATACGAAACAAACAGAAAGAGATGAGTTGCAATGAAACTACCCATGATTCCATAAAGAAGAAAATAAAATAAACCAAATGAACAACTCTAGTGCATATATGTGTGAGTGAAAAAAAGATAAAATGAAGAAAAAGAAAAGTCTGACAAAGTTTCTTCACTAGGAAAGAGGTTATGTGTTGGAGAGACTGAATTAAGCTTAACTGGAAAAACTTAGGATGAGTAAGCTGCTTCTAAGTGGAATTATTAATTGTGCTTTTAGCCTTAATTTGTGCATTTCTAGAAAAGCACAAGAAAAGGCACCAATTTTAAACCTGTGTGACTCACCCTCCCTCCCAGCTGAAAAAACAAGCTGCTCTGAAGAGCTGGGGGATGACAGTCACTGCATCAGAGGTCCTACTGTTAGCTGGGGCTACAGCCTGGAAGAACAGACACTGGGTACAAGGACTCCCCGTCCCACTCACTACAAACCTATCTCCAAGATCTTACCTACGAATGTTTTGTCTTTATAGTGGTGCTGGAGAGAAGTAACAAGGGAGGCTCAGTGATTCTTCAAGGCACCAGAGTGGAAAGAACAGATGGAAGTCCTGCCCTACACTGTTTGTTTTGCAGCAAAGCTCCACCAACCTGCCCTCCCTCCCACAGCTCCTTTGGGGCAGTCAGGCACTCTGTTCTCCTCTGCACCTTCATTTCACACCACGCGTTTGCATTTCTCTGTCCTTCTCCACCAAGAAGAGTTTTTCCCTGTTGCTCCACAGAGCAGCCCAGGTGAGAGCCCCACAGCTACAGAGCAGAAGCTTTTGGCCAGTAATTCCTGGAAGAGCAGAGCAACTGAGACCCAAAGAAGCAGGAAAAATGAGCTACCAAGAGAGCCCCTAACTCTCATCCTCGTGGGACACGCACAGAGCTGGGTGCTGTAGAGCAGTTTTTGAAATGGGGTGTCTAAGAAAGAGCTGTGAGGAGAATGGGCTCAGCCCCCCTGGAGAGCACGTCCTCAGGAGGGTTTGCAAAACAAGCATGACCTACACATGCCATTAGGTGAACTGTAGAGTGCTTAATGAAGGGTATTTCAGGAAGGTGAAGAAGAAATCTTAAAATACACCATATTTCAAGTACCTCATGATAAGTGAGTTAGTCTGCTTTATACATTGCCTCATATCTACACGTTCTCACTTCAGTAATGCTTTGCCTCTAAATACAAAGTTTCTCCCTCTGATATCAACTAAAACTAAGTAAAGAACCATCTCTCACACAGATGCCCAGGTATGCCTAAAGCATTCAGTCCCCCACTTCTCTCTGAGCAGGCACTCCCAGTGCTCCTGCCATGGATGCTGTCCTCACCTTGTCTCTCATGCTGACCACACACGACTAGACAGGACTCAATTCAACCCCCCTGGGGCTGTTTGCTAAACGTAAACCTCACACAACCTCTCTGGTGAAGCACACTGGCTCCTGATTCCAGCTATGCCTAGGAGAAACAAACCCCACAAAACTTTTCCAGGAGTAGTAGTACACAGCTGCTGTAAAATACAGAGGGTTCAGTCAGTGGTGGCTGTTTGTAGCTTGTCAAGTTCTGATAACTAAGACTCATGAATAACTAAGACTTGGATACACAGGACAGGAAATTCCATCTGCCAGGGTTCAGAGGGTACTTATATTGTCAGGAGAAAACAGACTTCTGTAGTTTCACCTCTGATGAAGCAAGTTTCAGGTACAAACAGAATTACTACAACGATGTCAGATTAAAAAAAAGCATGGCAATTTTCTTCTGCACTTCATTTATTTTTTAGAAGTATATGTAGGTCTACATCTTCAGCAAGTGTAAGACACCTTCACTGTAATTCAGTTCTGAAATTCTACTCCTAAATTCTGATTCCTGTGATATATACACAAGATGGATGCCCAGTAGCAGGCATTCCTTCTCATAAAGCTTTTAAATGGAGATTCCTCTTCATATGTATCTGTAACAAATTACTGCAGATTTACAGTCTTAGTAGGTTCTTCTGCCATACTGGGATCCTAAGTCAGCTTCAGGCACCTGTAGCAGCTGGCCACAGGTTTAATAAAGCACAACTTCAAAGAAATGTCTTTAGCTGTTTTGTACCCTGCTATGCATTTTGTTACTACAGCTTCACAGTGTTTTGAAATTGGCAGAAAACTAAATATTTAGGGTAAGTCCAGAAACCTGGCATTGCTTCTCATTCCTGTCTTAGTACAAACACTTCCCTGAGGTCAGCACCACTCGCCTCAGCACAGTTCTCTCACAACAAAGATCCCACAACCTACCTCATCAGGAGCAGAGCAGCAGGACAGGACCTCGACCTGCTGTACAGAATTGGCCCCATCAGCACTTACAGGGCAGACTAAAGCTACTGCTGGACCTCACCAAGAGACAATCCTGATCTGATGTTCAAACCAGGGCAGATCCACAGAAACTCTTCTGCCATAAACCTCTATCTGATCCTGGTACCAGGCGGACTCCAGACAGCCGAGATTAAAAACATAAATGTGCTGACAATATTATGGGGCTGCTCCACCTAGTACAGAAACTTTTTAATGACTCTGCCCGAGCTCTAGAAAACAAAGAACTTCCTCCAGGTTGGGCTTTGGGATGTACCTACTGGCCAAATCCACAACGTCACAGAGAGGTGTTTGCCCTTCCCAGAGCTCCCATGTGCTGCGGGACGCCCCAGAGCACCCCCCTGCTGCCTCAGGCACTCCCAGCTCCCCTGCTCCAGGGACACAGCCTCAGCCCTGGCCTGGCTGCTCACACCGGGCATCTGTACATCCAGTAACAGCACCAACCAACATTAAACACTTCACATATACACAACTACCTAAAAACCAAAAGCACCAAGATACCTACAACATCAAATCTGTACATGCGCCTTTCTGCGACACTCACGTGATTCACATCAGGCATATCTTGTTTTGGGGGAGGCCCAAAATGTTTAAATAAGCCCACAAAAGGAGGAACGCTGAACCACACTCTAAAGATCTATTTGTAGATTCAGAGGAGCTTTCCTAAAGCTCATTCTGACACTTACTTGTCCTCTCTCAGTTACTGGATATTTAAAATAATTTAAGTTTGATCCTTTGTGATAGCTCCTAAATTACTTGGAAATGAGGAAAGGGGAAGGAAGGAGAGAAGAAGAAAGGAAATTACTCTGGCACCATCTTTCCCTTTCTGTTCAAAGATCTTGAATTACTACTCTGCTCTTGCAAATCCAAGGCAATCATTCCCATCCTAAACCTCCAAGTGAGCACAGGAGAAAACAAGTCACTTCAGGATTCATCTCATTTTCACCTCCTTATTAGTGGCTTGCAAAGCTGCTGAAAAGAGTGTGTCCAACTTAAACTTCTGAAACCCCATGTAAGATACTGATGATTATTCAAACACCTATCCCTGTCTCTTCATTTAATCTGAGTGAATAATGACAGTTCTGCATTATGAGACTAAAGCAACTGACACACTGAAAGGGTTCAACCTGCTACCTGGCAGAAGAGTAGTGACCTAACAACCACAAAGTAACAAGTGGAAAAAATAAAGAAAAAAGGAAAACAAAATAAAACACAACACAACTTTGGCACATGGAAAAATCCCAACGTCAAACCTGTTTTTACAGTATTGCAAAACTTTCCTTCCAAAGTTCTCAAATGTGATGGTAGTTACAAATTAAAATGAGTTTTTCTAGTTTGTGAGGAAATCCTACCTTTTAACCTTAAAAATTTAAACAGTTCTAAGTTTGTGAGTGGTGAAAGAATCCCCTTCTGCTTAACAAACTGTGAGTAATAACCCAGCATCCATTCTCAACTTGCAATGGCTGGAACTGGGGGCTTGGCATCCACTTTTCCTACTGGCAAAACAAGCAGGGCTTCTGAGAACCTAGAGCTGCTTCTGAATATCAAATATTATGGACCAAAATAGCAAGTGGAAGTCTCATGAGAATGGCTGACCAGAAAAAAATAAAATAATAATAAAAAAAATAACCAAAGGCAGCATTTAAATCCCAGAGAGCCCTGAGGGAGGAGTTCTTTAGGAAATACATCATTTTTATCACTAAACTGCACAAGTGACCACAGAAGTATAAAAGGGGGGAAAAAACAAGTGTGCTCACCTCTTGCACAAACGAAACAAAAGCCTACATTTACAGCTGATGAGGAGTGATTCCTTTTGGAATGGTTACTACAGATGAGAATGTGGGATGACACAAACAAGCTTCCTGCAGCAATACAGCCATCTCCTGAGTGATAGGCAATGGGGCATCTCAAACATCTCACCATGCGACCTGTTCAATATAAATGCAGAGAAATGCTCCATGTCACCCTGGAATCAGGATTTGGTAGAAGACACCTCAGACAGATGCAAGCCTGGGTTTGACTCCCATCAGAGTACTCCATTAAAGAGAAACGTTTACATCTTTAGAACAAAGTTTCACAAAAGTTAACTCTTAACTTTCGCTTTAAAACTCTATTAAGAAAAAATACATGGTTTTAGTCATTCTAGAGTCTTCTGTAACATTTGTTAACTTCTAAACAGATTTTCTTGAAAAATAATTGTTTGAAAGGCCACTACCAACTGTCTTTTTAAAAAACCCCATTCCTAGGCCTTGCACTAATAACCCTTGGTTCCATTAAACCCACGACATCAAACCCTGCGCAGCGTTTACTCAGCTTCAGTCACACCCAGCAAAAAGAAAAGCTGATTTAAGGGTTGTGGGCCCAGGCGTCCTGCTCAGCGGCCTCTGCCCGTTCCCCACCCACGGCAGGCTGCAGGCCACGGCCTCTTTCAGGACAGCCTGGCTCCTGGGCGCGCTGCCCGGGGCGTGTGCTCACCCCTGCTGGCCTTGTGCAGGTCCCTCTCGGCGGCGCAGGCGCTGCAGCAGTGCTGGGGGCAGCGGAACCCCCGCGACTCGA